TTTTTTTTTTTTTTTTTTTGTCTAGCGGTGTTTTTCTTTTTTTAAATCATTTTCTAATCTGAATATTGTTTCATTATAGGATGCTCCTCCTGCACATCTTTGTTTCTCAATGTACTGATATCATGCTTTTCTTAAATTTGTTTTTCTTGCTTGCTTTTCATCATCAATACCAACATAAAATAACATGGACAAAAATTGTAGTTGCTGTTATTAGACTTTAGATACTGTTAGACATAACTTGATAGAAATCATTTTAGGTATCACTAGGTCATATTTTGGGAAACTGATTTTTAAGGAAAGTAATATACCGAGTTAAATATTCAGAAATGGATATAACTGCTATGCACTTTTTCTATCCTCAAACAAGTGAAAGAAGATATTTTTGTAAAAAGATGCATAATTACTTTTAAAAATGTTTTCCCCAAATCTTCTCTGTATTTCACATGAGTGTCTTTCCTACTCCCTTAATATTTACATATGAAGTTTCCCTAATCACCCTAACCTACCCTACCCTCTCTTCAAAAATGGTTTCTTCTGTGAAAATGGGTTACGCTCATGTACGTGCCTTCCTAAGGCTATTAATAACAGGAAAAATCTGGCATCTTCCTCAATACAAGTAAATTATACCTTTTATCAAGCATTTGATAAATTTGACTTACTATGTGGTTCTACTCATAATGCTTAATGAAGAGGGAAGTTGTATACTTGGTGGATTATCAATTTCAACATTGATCAAGTAGTATTGAGTCCTACTTTGCCATTCACTGTTCTGTTCAGCTCTGGGAACAAAAACAGAAAGTTCATACCTTTAGTCCCATTCTACAAAAGGATATCTTTCATTCTTCCCCAGATGTTTTGTCAGTTATTCTTTATGATTGCTGGATTCTTCATCTTTCACATTAAAATATTGCCTATTTTTCATGTTGCAAGGATTAAAACAAATATATTTAAGGCACCGGCTGCAATGCCTGGCATGAAATAGAGCATAATGGTGGCTTTTCATTTTCCCAATTTAGTTATATAAAAAAAGAATATTCAAGCTATTTTTTCCCTATTACATAATGCTGTTACTTTTCCTGGCTGAAAATTGGTGGGCAACTGATGAAACCACTCAGGCCTCCTGGTGGGAACTGTACATGTTGAAACTGGATTGGGAGCAACCCCCTGGGTGAGAACACATGGAACTCAGTGATGCTTGATTCCAGCCACACCGTCCTGCATGGTTAGCATTGGGTGACAGCTTCACATTGGTATAAACTTAGTATTTTAGAAAATGAGAGCATAGCTATACAATTTAGGTCTAATTGAAGCTCAACTTTTAGAACGACAGGTGGAAATCTAAAGCAGCCAGTGATAACTAGGTCACAGGCCACCATTGCCCTAAAATGCCTGGTTTCAGCTGCCTGGACACATGACAAGTGGATGAGTTTTTCTTCATACTTCTTCTCAAAAAGACTGGCAACCTCTGTGCCTTTCCCTCAAACTACAGATAGTGTTGTTAGATTAAATAAATTAATATGTGGAAAGCATGTTGTAGAGAAGTGTCTTGTTCATAATACATGCTATGAGTGTTTGCTGTTATTACTGTTTGTATTATGTAAATATACATATTTTGCAAGACTTCTCTTTTTTCACATGAACATAAGGCTCTGTGAAATAGATTTCTTTGAAGTCTTATATTTGTGATTCACTTAGTAGGCTGACAAAATGGCAACCCTGCAAACTACTTACATTCCAAAATGGCCCTTAAATGTGTCCATACATCTTAGTTTTGAGCCCCTCTTCTAAACAGAACCCTTTCTCAAAACTCCTGAAGAAATCAGAAGAGGTGATTTTTTTTAAGTTTATTTATTTTTGAGAGAAATAGAGAGCAGGGTGGGGCAGAGAGGGAGAGATAGAGTCCCAAGAAGGTTCTGTGCTGTCAGCGAGCACTTGACAAGAGGGTTCAAACCCAGGAACTGTGAGATCGAGTCAGACACTCAACTGACTGAGCACCCTTCTGGGCGCCCCTGGAAGAGATGATTTTTATCCTGATAATTTAAGACTATAAATGAAGAGAATGATGCTCTTTGGTGTGGGTACTTCCTAATGAATAAATAAATGGTCTTTTGTTACAGAGGAAACAGGACCAGCTTCCTGTTTCCTGGGAGTCT